TGACCCAGCAACAAGCCCAAATGTGTCTTTTGGGTTGGGCTTGGGTTTCTTTCCATCAGAAGGTGGAGATGCTTAAATCAACCTTCGTTTCTATCCCACACTCAACTTTTGCCCTCTTAGCTTGCTGCTGACCAACCAGGAGTTGGTGGGCTCAGATCTGAGGAGAAGTTATTTAGGACTTGTCTTGTGGTGAGCTCCCAAGGGAGGAATTTTTGGCTGCAGCTCTCTGGGCTGGAGAGCGAGGTGCTTTGATCTGATGGCAAAATGCTGCTTCTTGTCCCTCTTGACTCTGCTGCCCCACCAAAACCCTTCACCAAAAGTGTTGCCCAGGCCTGTGCCAGGCTGCCCAGGGCAGTGGTGGAGTCCCCACCCCTGGAGGGGTTTCCAAGCCCTGGAGATGTGGGGTGAGGGACACGGGGCAGTGGGGACCTGGCAGGGATGGGGGAAGGGTTGGACTCAATCTGAAAGGTCTCCTCCAACCTAAACATTCTATCATGTTATGAAAAAATGGTAGAGGATGGATTTTACTCCTCTGCCATGGAGTGGCCAGTCCTCTTAGCTGTTCTAGCTTGATCCTGGTCTTGGAGAGGTCTCATCTCTGGGCCAACAAAGGCCAACTGTGATGAGCAGTGGAGTTTCTCTTGCGTTCAAGAGTGGAGAGCTCCAAGGTGAAGGCACTTTCTACTTCCAACCATGGCAGGAGCTTCATCCAAGCTTAGAAAAGATGTCAGAGGGTGGACTGAACCATGACCCATCCCTACCATGCATGAACACAGCCCACCCCTGAGGCATGGTGAGGCCCAACATGATGAACGTGCTTAGCCTGCAGGTTTCTGGCCCAAACTTGTCCCACGTGAGACCTGTTTGGAGACCCCCTTGGCATCCCCATGCTTGCCACGTGGTTTCCCAATGATCTCCTCTCCCAAACCAGGCCGGGGAAGGGAAGTCAACCCTGCTACCTGGTATAAATACATTTTATTTTAAACTCTAGGCTGGGAAGGAAGGTCATCCAGGGAACACGCCCAGATTATCTACAGGCCAAGGCACCCCCAAATTAGTCCTACAATTGATGGTTAAAAATACAACCAAACTGATGAAAGAGAATTCACTGACTGCCTTGACATCACCACCCAAGCATGGGCCAAGCCAATCCAGAAGTTATTTTTATAGAACTCCAGGAGGCAGTTCCAGAGCAAATAAAGTTCACTGGGCAGGGCGGTGACCCGACCGTCTGGTTTCAACGTTCTTCAACCTCCTCAAGGCTTCTCTCCTGGGTGGTGCAGAGGTCTGTGGGTCAGGGCACGGCTCCATCAGATGTGCCCCGGGCAGGTGGGACGTGGGGTTTGTTCTCTGCTGAGCCCACTCTTTGTTTTCCCAAGTTCTTGGTCTGGCTCATCCCTCTGGAGAAAGGATTGAGGTCCTCTCCACGTTCTCCATGAGGGGTCACCCGTCCTGTTAGGAGCGTGGGTGATGTGCAACCAGGTGATCTGCACCTGGAACTCCATTGACCAAATTATCTGGATGACAGCAGTGATCTCCTCAAAGAGTGGACACCACAAGGGAGGTGGACACCTCTACGTGGGCGGCGTTCCTGTTGGCTTGCCCATCTGCCTGTGCTGTGGTACTGGTCAAACCTGCTGTCTGAAGGCCCAATTTAAGGGCAAAGCTCCCCAGGCCACCTCTGGTGGTGCCATGACACCAGTGTAGCACTGCCCTGCTGGGCCAAAGGAGATTGGTATCTCAGGAGGCTTCAGGAGAGACCTGGTGCTGCAAATCCAGCTCCCGTGGAGGTTCAGCTCCTAGCAGGTCTCACCTGTAGGTAGACATGGTCCAAAAAAATGGAACTCCTGCCTCTGGGAAGGTGCTTTTCCTACTTTGTCAAAGGGATCAGTCTCACCTCATCCTTCTGTGGTCCCTTCCAACCCTGACAGATTCTGATCTGCTTTAGCAGAGGACTTTAGAGCCCTCATGGCTCAATGGTTGGACTTGATGATCTTGGAGGTCCCTTCCAACCTAAAGGATTCTAGGATGCTGGAGGTTACATGCAAACGATGCCCTGGTGTGAAATTTAGACCAACCTTTTGCAAGTGGAGCAAAATGATCCCCACTGAGATGTCCCATTCTGGGTGAAAATGTTCACAATGACCTTTGCAGCCCTCCCACCTTCCATCCTCTGCTCCTTGTCCTTCATGGAGGTCCATCAAAGCCTGCAGAAGCTTTTTTTTGGGGACTTGGGGAGGGGGGAGGTTGGGAGAGGACCCCAGTCCCTTTTCTTTTGCAAGGGCAGAGGGATCATTGATGTCTTTCTTGGGTGGCATCACCCACCAGGGGCTGTAAGGATGGGTGCTGGGTGGTGGCCTCCCTTCCTGCCCAGCTCCCATCCCTGGCTTGATGAGTTTGGTTTGGTTTGGTGGCTGTTTTATGGATTTTTTTTTGGTTGGTTGGTTGGTTTGATTGTTTGTGGTCATCCTCAACTGCTCAGGATTTCCCAGCATGCCCCAGGGATCCCAAAATATGGCCCAGCTCCTCAGGCACATCAGTGGGGACCTTTCTAGGCAGGACAAGGGGGGCTCCTAGGAGGGTAGGATGGCTCCAAGGCTGGAGCCAGGAAGGATGCTGTGTGAGATAGGATCCTAGAATCATTTTGGTTGGAAGAGACCTTCAAGATTGTCACATCCAACCGAGATGCAGGAGACAACCCAGCTCCAGGGGGTGGAGAGTTCTTGGGGCATCAAGGAAGAGCTCTAAGGTTCAAAGGGTGCTTTTTGTTCCAGGGCAGAGGTGGCAGGTTGGTGACCTTATGGGTGGCCAAGGCTGGAGATGGGTGCAGGATGTTCTCACTTGGTTTTTGAATTCCTCAGAAGGTCAGGAGATCATTTCTGTTTGGACTTTTCAGAATTAAAATGCAAGTGAAAACTCCAGGACAAATCATTTGGTAACCTTGGGATCATTTTCTCTCCTCCACCACCACCATCACCACCACCACCCCCCTGGGACTGGCTGGAACAGGAAAGGATGAAGTCTGGAGAGGCTGAAAAGCCCCAAAGAGGATTTTGGCAGCAGGTTGACTTGGGAGTCACAGACACAGTTGGGCCATTTCCTTATCAAAGGGGTGTAGAGAGGAATTAGTCATCGCTGGGTGCTTCATAAGCACCTCAGTTCATTACAAATCTTCCTCCAGAGGCAAATAGATTTTTTTTCCCCCTTTTTATATAAAAAAAAATAGCTAAATAGCTCCCATCTGACATCTTCTCCCCATCCAGTTGGGGCATGAGGCTATCCCTGAAGCCTGGAAGAAGCTTTCTCTTGAGCAGCTCGTTTCAGAAGCGACATCCCCCCCGTGTGTTGTGACTGGGTTGGGGGGGGTGGTGGCTTCTCTTATCTCCCAGGCTTTGCAGGAGGGCAGCTGCAGCCCTGGCAGCAGCAAAGCCCTTCAACCTTGGGCAGGAGGAGTAGAAGGAGAGGAAGAAGCTAGAAAAAGGAGCTGCTTTAGCTGCTGCTTTTCGGATGTTGTGCAACCCCTCCCAGGAGGAACAGGCGGTGTTGAGAAGGAACTTGTCCTCTGCTTTCATTTTCCCCTGTCTAGTGGCTGCTCCTTTTGAAGACCAAGGCAAGGTCTCCGTGGAGACAGACAAACAAAGGCACGTGGGACATCTTGCAAGAAGTTCTGCAGCCCTGCTGGGAGCCTGGGGAAACCCTCTTGGCTCTGAGCGTGGTGCCATCCTCTAGAAAGGGCTTTTATTTGCTTTTCCCTCTTGCCCTTTGCCACGTGCTGCCAGCACACACGTCCCTTTTCAGCTCCAACCTTCAAGCAAACCCCTTTTCTTCTCCCCAGCTGGAGGTCTTGGTATCTCCCTGCACGCTTGTTCCTGATGTTGCTCCATAAATCACGTCACTGGGATAATCCTTGGTCATGGCAACCAACAGCTCAGGAGCAGGGTGACCTTTTAATGCCAAGCCCAGGCTGCCCTCATCTTCTTCTGCTTGGGCAAGGAGCCAGTCTCTGCTGTTGTGTCATGAGAGCCCAGGGAGCAGCCAGGCCCTTAGGATGCTACTGGCCAAATGCTGGGTCTGCTGAAGTTACTGGAATGAATGGGCTGGGCAGGGCCACCTGGACCACCAAGCCCAGCATGGCCACGGGCATTCATTGTGTGTCCCCTGAGGTTCATTTCGTAGAATCACAGAATTTTTGGTTGGAAGAGAGCTTTAAGATCATCAAGTCCAACCCTTAACCCAGCACTGACAAGTCCATCACTGCCCCGTGTCCCTCACCCCACATCTCCAGGGCTTGGAAACCCCTCCAGGGGTGGGGACTCCACCACTGCCCTGGGCAGCCTGGCACAGCCCTGCACAGCCCTTGCCAGGGAGACATTGCTCCTCAGGGCCAACCTCAACCTCCCCTGGGGCAACCTGAGGCAGTTTTCCCCCCTGTCAGGAGCTGTGCAGAGCCAGAAGGTCTCCCCTGAGCCTCCTTTGCTCCAGGCTCAGCCCCCCCAGCTCCCTCAGCTGCTCCTCCCCACACTTGGCCTCTAGACCCTTCCCCAGCAGCTCCGTTGCCCTTCTCTGGCCACGCTCCAGCCCCTCAAGGTCCTTCTGGGAGGGAGGGGCCCAAAACTGACCCCAGGATTTGAGGTGCGGCCTCCCCAGTGGTAACCTCCTTAACCTCTTTGTTGCTGGTTTCATTCAGTCTCGGCCGTGCTTACAGAGAAGATGCCCCGTGTGTGTCTGGGGGGGAGGGCAGGGCAGGGGGGACACCATCTCCACCCACCACAGTTATTGCAGAAGCTGATGAGGTTTCTACAACACCTTCCTCCTGGTGGCTTCCCTGTGTTGAAATCCCAAGCCCTCCTCATGCCTTGAGTCATCTCCAGAGTCAATCTGGCCGGACTTCCTCCCCCACTTTCCATTTCCTCCTTGTTGCCTCTCTAGAGGAGCTCCAGGCTGTCCCCTGGGGTGGTGGCCGTGCTGATGCAGGCCTGTTGTCTCTGTCCCTCTTGCAGAAGGACTTCACCATGCGGGAGGAGCTGCAGCAGCGGGACGTGGAGCGTTGGCTGGGCTTCATCACCTTCCTCTGCGAGGTCTTCGGCACCATGAGGAGCAGCACCGGAGAGCCCTTTCGAGTCCTTGTCTGCCCCATCTACACCTGCCTCAGGGAGGTAAATGCCCTTTTGAGTCTTTATCTGCCTCATAGAGGAGGTAAAAGCCTTCAGGCTTTGTCCTCCTCCACCGTTGGGTCTCAGTGTTGAGGAGCTCGTAGATGGTTGCTCGAGGATTCCTAGAGGTTTGCTTTGCCACCATCAACGTCCCTCACCCCAAAAGTGCCTACATCTGCAAGGATAAGTGGGGTTTTCCTCCATGTTGGGTTTCTGCTCGTGCTCAGAGCAAGACCCCTTTGTCCAAGGGTTCTCCAAGCCCAACAGTTGGGTTGGCAAACCCAACCTTGAGTTTGTATATCCCAACGTTGGAAAAATCCCCACCAAAGGGCCTTAAAAAGCTTCATAAAAGCAGATGGAGCCACCTGAATAGATGAGAAAGATGATGGGGAGGAAAGAGGGAGAGAGGTGGGGTCCTGGATGTCTTTACTCCCCACCTAGTGCAGCAGAAACCCAGCCCTGCCACCAAGGTCAGGGACATTTCAAAGCCTGAGTTCCTGAGAAGCTCCTTTCAGATCCTGAGCTCCCCGTGGTTCAAGGTGGTGGCAGAAACCTCGGTGAGGACCAACACAAAAGGCAACTCAAGTTCAGTAGAGCAGGAGGGGCCTTTCCCCCATCCTGTTTTCAAGATGGTTTTATGTCCTGCTGCTCTCTGCAGAAGACTTTCTCTGAAAGATCTGCCTCGTCACCTTGGAGCTGTGATTCTCAAATCATCAGCAGTGCCATAAAGAACTCTCTGTAAAAGAAGTTCTCTGCTAGAACCTCGGGCAAGGGAAGGATGAAGAAAATCCCACCCATAAGATGACTTTTTTTTTCCCCCACGTGTGGGAAGTTCACCTTGTAAACATCTTTGTCTTCACAGCAGTGCTGTGAGTAGGGTTCACAGATGGTGACTGGAGCAGCGTGGAAGACTCTGGGCGTCGTGAGGAGACACATATCCAAAGGAGGAGGTGGGAGAAGGATGCTGAGAATAACCCAACTTCCCCCAAACCTCTGCCCACAGCAGCATGTGTCACCTCCTGGGGAAGATCTTGGTGTCTAACCAAGTCCCTGTTCTCTGTTTCCCATCACAGTCGTGACACAACCCAGCCCTCATTCTGCCCTCACGGTCCCTCCTGTCACCTGGCTGGTACCTGGGGACGTGGTAGACATCTAGAGGTGCCTGGAAGACCATGATGTTCACCTAGCAGGGCTTTTTTTTTTGGCTGCAGGGCAGCTCCATAAAAAGCCTTTGCTGATTCTATCAAGCTTCTTAATACATCACCCAGTTCCACAGCAGGAGAGCCCTGTCCTGGTGGTATTTGTCAGAGAAGAAGACTCTTAGCTTAGCTGATATGGGTGAGCCTGCCCCAAAAATGGTTGATCTGTGGCTTCTTGCTCAGCAGGGTTGTGACCTTGACTCACACCATTCCTATCCCATGCCTCTGGGCTGGTTTTTTGTCTTGTCACTATTTTTGGTCAGCTCATCTTGACACACGAGGCCAGCCCAGGAGAATGAGACCACCTACATCTCAGCAGTGATAGGTGGCAGGTTCTGAGATGGTTGCCAAAACCAAAGCCAGGCTGTAGACATGGTTGAAGAGATGGAGGGGAGCTCTTCTACCTGCACCCAGAAGAGGACAGGGGTGTGCTGGACTGTGGCCAGAGAAGGGCAACGGAGCTGCTGGGGAAGGGTCTAGAGGCCAAGGGTGGGAAGGAGCAGCTGAGGGAGCTGGGGGTGCTGAGCCTGGAGCAAAGGAGGCTCAGGGGAGACCTTCTGGCTCTGCACAGCTCCTGACAGGGCGGAAAACAGCCTCAGGTTGCCCCAGGGGAGGCTGCGGTTGGTCCTGAGGAGCAATGTCTCCCTGGCAAGGGCTGTGCAGGGCTGTGCCAGGCTGCCCAGGGCAGGGGTGGAGTCCCCACCCCTGGAGGGGTTTCCAAGCCCTGGAGATGTGGGGTGAGGGACCCGGGGCAGTGGGGACCTGGCAGTGCTGAGTCAACCATTGGATTTGATGACCTTAAAGGACTCTTCCAACCAAAAAATGATTCAATGAAACACGTTTTCCTGCTGGGAAGAGTGCACAGTTTAACTGGGGGGAGGGAAATGGTCTCAAGCCCAGCCCAAAGACTGGCACTGAAGATGGTTGGGGGTAGGGGTTTGGATGGTGAGCAGATGAGAGCCCCTTTGCTCTGGTGAGAACCAGAGGACTCTTGCAGCCATCCCATCTGGGGAGCCTGGGAAAAGAGGAACAAAGCAATGAAGGTAAATAGAAATCAAAGAAAGAGCTTTCCTCCTATTCTTCCCCTCCAGGAATTGAGGGTGAGCTGGAAGAGGGCGTTGTTCCTGGGGAAAGGTTCTCCCCAGGGATGGTTGTGTTGCAGCCAGGTCACCACGGGCTTGGCCCTTGGCTGCTTCCAGCCCTGCCTGTCCTCACATGGGACCAGTGGTGAGTTCTTCCAGGACCATGTTCCTCCACGAGTCTTTTGTCTGGCTGGCTGAAAACACTTTTAGCAGTTTTAGGAAGTTGTCCTGACTTCCATGCTTGGTGGTCTGAGCAAGAGGGATGGCCCACTGTCTTCTCCTAGCCCTGTGAGACATGTGACCTCAACAGTGCCCTCACTTTATTTCACAAAACCAGACCAAATTTGTCCCTGTACGTCTCCTTCTGCCCCTCCAGGATGGTGGGGAGTGGACGTGCTGACATCCTTGCTGCCCCATGGTCCCCTGCCCAAACACCAAGGACCACATTCAGCCCCACCTCACCTTGCACATCCCCAAAGAAACCAACTAAAACCAGAAGAACGACTGAGGGACTTTGGTTCTTGCAACCTGGCCTTATTTCTTCTTTTCTGTGGCCTTGGGCAGAGGAACCAAAGGTCAAATGGGTCAAGACCAGGGGCCAGCAAAGGTCAGTTGAACCATCAGTGGGGTAGGAGCACCCCAAAGACCTGTGTTGGTGTTTAGGACTGGGTCCTGAGGCACCTGGCCCAGCTTTTGGTGGTGGCTGAGGTCTTCAGGGAAGGAAGGATCATAGGCAGCTTGGGGCCGTGGTCATGCTCTGCAGAAGCTGGGGTAGATGAGTGGTGAAGGGAGGTTTGGCTTCTCTTGTGTCTCAAACTCATCCTCAGTGGATATTGTTGGGATGCCAACCTTGCTAGTTAGGGTCCCACAAGAGCAAGAAGAACAGGGTGGGCTCTGTCCCCTCTCACCCCTCATGATAACCCAAACTCAACCCTTGCCCATGCTCCTGTGCTCTTCTCCTGCACAGGGCTTGTTGGCTGTAGAACGTTTAAGGTTCCTCTTGAATCCTTCCTCCAGCCTGCTGAGGTCCCTCTGCAGTGTGGCCAGCAGGTGCAGGGAGGTTCTCCTCCTTCTCCATGCTGCCCTAGTAGAGGCCAACTTGGGAATACTGGGTCCAGTTCTGGGCTCCCCAGTTCAGGAGCTACGGGAGAGAGTCCAGTGGATGCTGCGAAGATGCTGAGGGGCTGGAGCATCTCTGTGAGGAGAAAAGTCATCTCTGGAGAAGCAAAGACTCAAAGAGGATCTGATCAATGCTGAGCAAGAGCTAAAGGGTGAGGGTCAAGAGGCTGGGGCCAGACTCTGGTCAGTGGTGCCCAGCGACAGGACAAGGGGCAACGGGCACCAACTGGAACCCAGGAGGTGCCACCTGAGCAGGAGGAGAAACTTCTTTGGGGTGAGGGTGGAGCCTGGAGCAGCTGCCCAGAGAGGCTGTGGAATGTCCTGCTCTGGAGAGATCCCAAACCCTCCTGGCTGTGACCCTGGGTGAGCTGCTGGAGCAGGGGGGTTGGACCAGATGATCTCCAGAGGTCCCTTCCAACCCCACCATGCTGGGATCCTGTGGATGGCAGCTCCTTGACCACGCTACGTGGACCCCAATCTTGGTGTCATCTATAAACCTTACAAGAGTGCACTCCTCACCTCCTCCAGGTCAGGGAGAAGGATGCTAAACAGGGCAGGTCCCAGGACAGGTGCCTCAGTACTCCTCACCACTGGCCTCCACATGGAGCTCAGTTGTAACCCAGTAGCTACAACCCTCTGAGCCCAAGCTCAAGTTGTCCCCCCATGATGTCCCAGCTTGGATACAAGGGGATTGGATTCCAGGGGTGACAAGGAGCAGCCTTGCTGTGGCACCCATCCCACTCCCAGCACCCATGGGTGCATCAGATGGGGCTTTGGAGCAAACTCCAGGCAGGAGCTGGTCACAGAGAGACCAATTAAACTGCAAAACTCCTTTGTGCAGGAAGCTGTGGGATCAATTCATGGAGATCCCTCCAGCTTCAGGGGGTTAGTGCTGTGGGTGCCCTGGTGGTATCTCCCTGAGCTTCACCACTCATCAGGGAGATGGGGGTGTTGACCTGACCCAAGACTTTATGGTCTTTTAGGAGCTTTTATGGTCTTTTTACCAAACCTGGAGACCGAGGGCAGCATCCAGGAGGGATGAATGAACCCTCCAGAGCCAGCAGGAAGGGAGCAGACCTGGCAGGCTGGCAGCAGGGACAGTTCCTCCTCCACAGGAGTTGCCTCCTGCCTCCAGTCTGCTTGGCAGAGGCAGGTCCCATTTCAGCAGGGTTTCAAACCTTGGCAGGCTTCCCATCCCTTCCCTGTGAACCAAAAGCCTCAGGGGGTGGTGGTGGTGGTGGAGGTGGTGGTGATGGTGGTGGTGGAGGGGAGGAGAAATCCTCCTCCTCTAATTGCCTTTCCCCCCACGTCTGAGTCCCTCCCTTCTCCTAGAGCCTGTTATCTCCTGAGGCCATGCTGGGTAATTTAGCAAACTATTCCAGCAGGGTAATTAAGGTCTCAACTTCAAGAGGGCACTGCCTTTTCACTGTCTCCTTCAGAGGAAGGGGGAGGAGAACCTTCCAAGCTGCTCTCAGGTGAGCAAGGAGGGTGGTGCTCTTTGGAAAAGAAAACCCTGGCTTTAAAAGCCTTGGGGTTGTTGGTTTCTTTCAAAATCCTTCTCACTTCTTCAAAAGCATCAGCCTTTTGTGGTGGGAAAGGGTCT